CTGCCTTTAAACAAGATTACCCGTTACATTTATTCTATTTTTTTTATAAAAAGTTGGTTAAAAAGACACCTTAATTTTTCATTTAGACATTCTTTTTGATTTTTAAAGTTTTTTTATTAATTAAATTTACATTGTTTTTTTTTTAAAATAAATTGTAAATAGTTTAATAGTTTATTATAGATTAACTTTTTAATAAAAATGTTTAAAAGATTTAACATCACCATTTTTATAATACTAACGCATTGGGACTTTAAACCCCATCTTATCGGAATGTTTAGAGTTTCGTGTTCTGAAAACCTTATTTGATTATTGATATTGAAAAGTCAAATTAGGCCAACTAGTTTGATAAAATGCGTCATTAAAGATAAAGTTTGAATTTTTATTACTTTGTATAGTAATTAGATACTTAATTACTGACTCTAATTACAAAATGATTTTATAGGTTTTCTCCTTCAAACTTCGTGGAGCATATAATATGATGGCAAAGCTTTCAAAGAAACAACTCGCAGAAGGCGTCATCTGTTCTTCAGCTGGTAATCATGCGCAAGGTGTTGCATTAGCAGCCAAGAAACTGGGCTGCGATGCAGTTATCGTTATGCCAGTTACCACGCCGCGTATCAAGGTTTGATTTTGCATGTTTCACGTTACGATCGAATGCTTGATTTATGAACTTCTGCTTACTTAACGTTATGTTGATCAGTGGCATTCTGTTAAGAGACTTGGCGCAACAGTCGTTCTTGAAGGCGACTCATATGATGAAGCTCAAGCGTACGCTAAGAAAAGGGCGATAAAGGAAAATCGGACCTTCATTCCTCCTTTCGATCACCCAGATGTAATCTCTGGTCAGGGAACTGTCGGAATGGAGATCGTGCGCCAGCTGCAAGGCCCAATCCACGCCATATTTGTGCCGGTGGGTGGTGGCGGTTTGATCGCCGGTATTGCTGCCTACGTGAAGAGGGTTTCCCCTGAGGTTCGGATCATCGGAGTTGAACCCGCTGATGCAAACGCAATGGCGCTGTCATTGCACCATGGTCAACGGGTCATGCTTGATCACGTCGGTGGCTTTGCAGATGGTGTTGCTGTCAAGGAGGTTGGAGTTGAGACGTTTCGTTTATGCCGGGAACTGATCGACGGAGTTGTTCTTGTCAGCCGTGATGCCATCTGCGCATCCATAAAAGTAAGCCATTAATTACCAGTTTCTGATCATCGTGTTGATCAGTTATTCTCTCTTTTTTATAAATAAATAGTATATATATATATGTGTGTGTTTGTGTTGAAGGACATGTTCGAGGAAAAAAGGAGCATTCTTGAACCAGCTGGTGCTCTTGCTCTTGCTGGAGCAGAAGCATATTGCAGATTCTATAACCTTAAGGATGTTAATGTTGTAGCCATAACCAGTGGAGCTAACATGAACTTCGATAGATTGAGATTGGTAACTGAGCTTGCAAATGTTGGTAGGCAACGAGAGGCTGTGCTTACTACTTTCATGCCTGAAGAGCCTGGAAGCATTAAAAAGTTCTACAATCTTGTAAGTAAACAACACAACAAATGAACAAAACATGTTATAACGTTTAGCTTGCATTAAGAGAAATATGTCAATGTTTTTTGTCCACAAAGTGGAATAAGATGTGACATTGACTCAGTTTTGATCACTAGTTTGCGTGAAATAGATTTATTAATACCCTTCTCACATCCAGTCATGTTTCATGAATGTATGTACGTAACAAATGTTGCACTCGATTTAAGTGGAAGTCTATGACTAACAGGAATTAACTTGTTTGCAGGTTGGAGCGATAAGTATCACCGAGTTCAAGTATAGATATGATGCTAACAAAAAACGAGCTCTAATTTTATACAGGCAAGATCGAATTTCATAATTTCGAGTCTTAAAATTCCCTACACTTTTATGAGATAGGTGTGCTATTTCTAGCACGTTATATATATAAGCTCATCTTAGGAATGTTACATATAATTCAAAGAGCAAAAAAAATCAATTTTCTTTTCTTTTGTTCATATATAGTGTTGGCGTTCATACAAAGAGCGAACTTCAAGCCATGATTGAGAGGATGAAGTCTTTCCAACTAGATACGATAGAATTCACGCACAACGACATGGTTAAAGACCATTTGCGTCATCTGGTACCATCTTTATTAATTCATATAAACTTTTTTCTTTACCTCGAAATTAAAACTAAAACTAATTTGAATCTTCAGATGGGTGGTCGATCAAACGTTGAAAATGAGCTTCTTTGTCGATTTATTTTTCCTGAGAAGCCTGCAGCTTTAGTGAAATTCTTGGACGTTATTAGTCCACGTTGGAATATTAGCTTGTTACATTATCGTGCACAGGTTAGTTTTTGGTAACACTTACACTCTTTATTAATCACAGTTTTGTTATTAAAGATTTTAATCATAAGCTTTTCCATTCTAAAAGGGAGAAACGGGTGCAAATGTACTGATCGGGATTCAAGTTCCGACAACTGAATTAAATGAGTTTCGTAGTTGTGCCAACGATCTTGGATATGACTACGAAATCGAAAGCGATAATGAAGGATTCCAGCTTCTAATGCGTTGATGACTCTCGGTTACAAGAAGCACTACAGGTGATTTTGTAAATATATGGTTAAATGTATATTTATAGAGCCATTTTTCGTTTATTTAATAATCTATACAACGAAATTAAATGGACTCCAGTCGGTTACGGTTTATGAAATAAAGATGCTTTTTCACCTTATATGGTGAATTTGAAGAACTTTATTTTTTTCTTCATGTCAACCTAAATTGCTATTAGTCTACATCTAAATGTATCTATGCTCCAAGTAGGATTTCCAACTTTATGAGTGGATGGTTGTTCATCATGTGTCGGGTTCAATGGCCTTTTGGTATTTGAAGAACAATTAAAAACTACAAGAAACTAGAGTATTACCGGCGACACGTGTCGTCGCTAAAAGATGGACTTGTCGCCGCTAATACCATTAGCGGCGACGTGTCGTCGCTAAAACGTCGACGCTGATGTTTCGTCGCTATTGATTGATTTGTCGCCGCTAATACTTATCTGTCGTCGCTAAAGACATGTCGCCGCTAAAGACCTGTCGCCGGTAATAACCGACTGTCGCCACTAAAGGCGTCGCCGGTATTGGTGTTTTTCTTTTATATATATATATATATATATATATATATATATCTCAATAAAATTGAAAAAAAAACTGGTATGATATTAATTAATCTAATCCTACATCATTCAATTCCAAAATATTAATATAGTATCCGTTTAAAATACTCGTCCGATTTAACATATAACAAAATAACAAAAATACTAGTCTAAAATACTTGCACAGATAAAACATAAAAAAATCCTACAACGATCTACTCGTCATCATCGCTCTCCTCGTTTCCTCCAATTTCATTTCGTTGTGGCAACGAACGAAACCAATCTTCAAGCGCAGCACTACATGCCGGATCTTTTAACATTGTTTGAAGCATTTCCAACTACAAATAAAACAACATAGTCTTATAAGTTAAACTTGCATTATAACATTCTATATACAAAATATACATTCCATATATCAAACTATAACCAAACTAACAATTACCAAGCTATAAAATACCAATATATCAAACTATAACAAAACTAACAATTACCAATATATTAACTACTATCAAACAAACAATTACCAAAATTTAAAACTATTACTAAACCCACAATTACCAACATTTTAAACAATTACCAAATTTAAATAGTCTTGTCACCTGTGATTGTGGTGGTGGTTGTGTTAGTGGTTGTTCCTGATCGTACATCGACACAACCGTAGAAGGTTTACGTCCGATGCCTCTGATATGGCCACGTCGAACACCCAATATTTTTTCAAAACAATTTTGTGTATCCTTCGGTGTTAGACCGCTGGCTTCAGAAGAAGCTTGAGTTTGTTGACTGATCTCAAAGAGTAAAGCATTCTGTATTTTCAAAAAATAAAAAATATAATAAAAATTAGATTACTAACTACCCCTTGACGATATAAGTACTTATATGAAAATACAAATTAACCACTTACGTATTGTTGCTCGACTGCAGGACTACTAAACACCCCATGGCGATCAGTATTAGCCTTACGAAATGCTTCGATTCAAGCAATGTCCTATTTAACATTAAAAATTAGATTAATTATAATTTAAATAAACAATTAAACATATCATAGCTTACTTCTTTGAAACATGCATTGCTATACGAGCACGATCCCCCTCTGTTTACAACTTTTGTTATTAGTTTAATTTATTAAACTAACTTTATTTTAATTTTAATTTATTAAACTAACTTTATTTTATTTTAATTTTAACATTAACTTGATTTTACAACTAATTTGTTATTTTTTTAATGTTTTTTTTAAATTAATTTAAATTTATTCTATAATTAAATTAATATTACTAGAAGTACGTTGCTATTAATAACCTAATTAAAGCTAAAGTTGTAATGACCAACATTAAGTCACTAAAAGTATGTTGCTATTAAGTAGGCCAAACATTAAGTCACTAACAAAATTAAACACTTTGTATATTCCAATTTCATCCAACTTCATACAAATATAAACATCTAAATTTCATTTTCAGGCAATGTGGTATAAACATAAATTTCAATCCAACAAATGTATATATTCATGTCATTTTTTTTTATACATCAATGTAATCTAAACATAATTATCAAAATATACACAAAATGCATAATTAAATTCCCACAAATCTGGAAAAAAAAAACACACACACACACACAAACCAACAAAATAATCCAACAAAATACATATAATCAAACAAAATTATCCAACAAAATGCTCACATTAACCACTTCATATCTCAAAATACAAACATAATCACTCAATATAATTAAAAAATGTTCACATTTTATCATCTTAATTAACACAAAAACAGAAAAATCATAGAAAAAGATGAGAAATTCGACCTTGGGGGAAGGAGGGGCAATTTCGGAATTTGCAAAAATATCACCGGTTTATGGCAATCTTGGGGGAAGGAGGGGCAAGCACCGGTCCAAGAAGCAATTCCAACTCCACAAACTTGTCAAAAAATCGTGATATTGAAGAAAGAAAGAGAGGAAAACGAGAGAAGGTGGAAGGTAAGGAAGAAAATGGCAGAAAGAGAACCTGTGAAGGGGTAATCTGCGTTTAGTATTAGCGGCGACGGCCTTTAGCGGTGACGCAAGGGCAATAGCGGCGACATCAGGGCAGTAGCGGCGACATGTGGAGGGAAAAGGAAATGCGCGTTTCCGCTTTCCTCTACAGCCGTTAGATCAAAATAAAATCCGTCGGATGGGGTGAAAATGACGTGGATCGCTAAATCAAAGCATTAGCGGCGACGCCTTTAGCGGCGACGCATAGCAATAACGGCGACATGTAACGCGTCATTTACATGTCGCCGCTATTGCTATGCGTCGCCGCTAAAGGCGTCGCCGCTAATGCTTTGATTTCTTGTAGTGTAAACAAGATATATAATTCCTTTTACAAAATATTTTATTTTCTTGGAAAGGAAACTTTCCTAACAAGGGTTTCTGGGTCAACTTTCGCACACCGACTAATCCACCGCTGTAAGTATGAGGTTCTGTTTCATGCACCAGAGTCACTGCAGCGGACCTCCATGGCCACGAAGGCTGGGTAGTGCCAGAATTTGAACATAAATTAATAGATTATCCACCATATCTTCCACATGTTTTACAAAGTCAATACAACCCAAATAGCTCAAACTATTCTATTACATAAATAAAAAAGTGTTTTTATAATATGATGATTGAAGAAGTGGTCATGAAGACCAATGATTTAATCGCAAAAGGTTTTTTTGGAAGTAAATCAGATAATTCATGAAATTATACACATATAAAGACAATATTTATGTTGTTCGGTCGAAATGGTTTATTTCCACCGGTATGAGGAAATATTCTTATTCAGGAGTTCTCAAACACACACACACACACACACACACACACACACACACATATATATATATATATATATATATATATATATATATGAGAAAAGTGAATATGTGGTTGTCAAGTATTTAATATTAGGTATAGAACCATCAAAATTGACTTCATTTTGATTAAATAAACATATTTTTTCATTGTTAGCTTCTTCCTGTTGTTTTTGAGCTCACATTATTTGTGATTTCATAATTTATCCTCAACATCTATGTATTTCGAATTTGTTTTTATATTAGACCTCTAGTAGGCTTCATAACTTTCATTGACACCAACCATATGTATACCTGTATGGTTCTTTTTGATGTGTTATGGGAAAAAGTTTATTGGGTTTTTAATAAATAATTTCAATCTTTTACTATAGTTTTCTATTTCTAATTTGAATATGAAGATTTATAGGTAGTTGATAATGTATTCTTATACATAGTTTGTGTTGCAAAATAAAAATTTTAAAACTCCATAAAAATATGTACAAAGCCTATCATCTAGTCTAATAGAGAATACAAGAAAGATGGTAGAGAGATTTGATTGTATTTTGTTAAAACTATGTAATTTTTAATGGATCTATACCTAATATTAGGTACATAACAACCACATATTCTCTAAGCCCATATATATATATATATATATATATATATATATATATATATATATATATATATATATATATATATATATAGGTTCGAATGTTTTTAGCAAGTATTGTGTGCTTAAATGCACCAATGAGAATTCAAGAAATAATAAACAATTAAATAAATCATTTAAGGGTATTTTGGACCTTTTATACTTTTAATTAAGGAAATCATTTAATTGAATCTTGCAATTAAGGAAATAAAATAAGTATATTTGACCTAGCCTCTTTCTTAAATCCTGTCTAATAAAACCTCCAAAATCCTCAAACCCTTTTCACTCCAAGTTCACCAACCGGACCTCCAGGTTCAATCCCCTGCCAACTCTGCCGCCATGGAAACGTCTCCTACAAGAAGCTCACAACCACAAAACCGCTTCCCCAAACGTTGAAATTCACCTCATCCCTCTTATGTTGCTCGTATTCTTCAATGGCGGAGACCGGTGATAGAATTGCAATTGAAAAATTCTTCAATGGCGGAAGATGCGAAGGAAGGCAGTCAATGGTTCTTCGTTCCTCTCCCGTCGTCTGCAGCAAAGAAGATCAAGGGGAAGATCCCCCGGTGCTCATCTTCGTCGGATTAAGGAGGAGAAGCACGATTGGAATCAGAAATCAGGAAGCACCTCCAGTGCTTCACCGATTCGAAAGAGGAGGAAAATATCGATTCCCGATGAGCCTTCCTTGACCGTCATCGATAGAAATAGAGGTAAACAAGTGGGAAATATCAATTCTTCTCTTTGACTTTTGAAAATTCAGTAATTGGTTTGGAATTGTTTTTATACTTGTTCTTTTACGTTTTATTGTAGTGATTTTATATATAAAAGTCAATTTATGTTAGAATCTTTTTTTGCATATACCGGCTTTAGTTGTTTTGTTTTTCTAAACCATTTGAATTGAGTAAAATTATATAAAAAAAACTAAAAACTTCCGAGTTTTGTAGATAATAAGAAGAAAACAAAAACTAATAGTTGGTGTGTATTTTTTGTTGAACATGTGTTTCTTAGATATTCTGTTAGAATTTAATGTATGTTAGGATGATGCAGGAATGATGAGGAAACTTATGAAAAAAAAAAAAAGATATGTGATACTTCATTCTCAAAGAATGAAAAAAAAACAACAATATTTTTTCAGAATTTCAGGATTCAACATCCAAAAACAGCAATATTCTTTTAGAATTCAAAAATTCAAGAAGAAAACCTGGAGAATGAGAGTATTCTAGCAGAATGTTGTTATTTTTTAAGAATGTTATTCGTGTTTGTTGATATTCTTTTAGAATATTTATAACTATATTAAAATGTATAAGACTTTTAGTCTGTAAAAATATGTATGAATTTTTATTTGAGTTCGGATATATAAGAATATATTAGAATGTTTGTTATTTTTCAACATCTTATTCAAGAATTTTATTTTTCTTCAATAATATTCTATTAGAATAAAATTCTGAAAGAGTATCATTCTAACAAAAAATATTCTGATAGAATAAAATCGGTAAAAATTGAAATTGAATTAATTAAAAAAATCAGATTTTTTTAAAATTAGGAGAATTAATCATCTCTAAAAAATCCGAAATTTTCCTTTTATAAATGTAGTTAACTGTCCAAAATACCCTTTTTGCTAAAAAAAAATGTGTGATTATATGGTACATGTTACTCCATTGTAATATCATACACTCTCAAATCATGTCCATTGATTAATTTCATCCGTTGGCTCAGATCTATGCATTCTGACACACAATATTTAGTAAAAACAAAATAATATATATATATATATATATATATATATATATATATATATATATATATATATATATATATATATATATATATATATATATATATATAGGTTGTAGCCTTTTAGAGTTTTAGGAGATGGTTTAATTTGAGGTATATTTGTATTTTGGCATGTTAGAAATAAAATATAATCGGTAGTGACTTACGTTTATATGGATCACAATAGTTTCCACTTAATCGACGATCTAAAAACAACGGTCAGGTGTCCATACAAATATATGCACATAACTCGTACCTTTCGTTTCAACAACCGATTTACTGTCTTCATGAACCACAAAAGCTTATTATAATGTTTCTTTACTTTTGATATTGCTGTGTTCTCAAAATCTAAGTCCATTTCAAGTTACTTGTGCTTTTTAAATGGTTTTGTTAATGCAGAAATCTATGTTACTCTCTACATTTGGGTTTTGAAAACAATGAAGTCCCATCACACGTTTATAAGTTGAATAATGATATTTATGGTTGAAATCAAGCTTCATGAATATGGCAAATGGTTTTATTATAGGTAGAGTAAATACAACTTTATTTAAAAATAAATATTGGTGAAAATATAATGATAGTTTACATTTACATAGACGACATAATTTTTAGTTTCTAACAAATTGTTTGTTTCGTAAAATTTTAGTTTCTAACAACTTGTATCCCACCTTTAAGGAACTCCATTCTGGCATATCAAAGTAGCCAATTAGGTAGTGAAATCCGGCTAAATAGAGGTGATTCATGTATAGTAGAATAGCATTTAAGGGTAGCATGTGAACGACTTAAATCGTAGTGTTTACAATTGGGGTTTTTTTTTTTTTTTTTCATTATATTGTATTTCATCATTACAAAGCTAACTATTTCATCTTAGCAAGTTTGCTTATTTGTTTCGGAAAGCTTCAAATCCGTAATTATACTTGATTAAAGCACTTCCTGTAGGTGACATCTCATTTCTAACACCTTGTGTTCCACTACTAGAATTCTTGTAACGTGTTCATTCTCTAATTTATTTACATTTATAATTATCTACTACTTACTAGTGTCTAGTGTATTTAATTAGAATTTGTTCTTTTGTGTCGGGAACATTTTATTGTTGGAAATTATTACTAGGTTGATGGATAATTATTCGTTTGACCTTCATAACAACAAAACTTTACACGTTCATTAAAAGTAAAAAGTAATTAATTAACCCGCATTAACTTATGTTCGTTGGGGTGATTATTCCCTCTTCGCGGGTGTCCAAAAGGAAAGTGCGTAAAGGACTCGCCCCTTCCAACCTTGCAACATCCAACTATTGTCTTCATGAACCACAAAATCTTTATGATATTGTTTCTCTACTTTTGACATTACTTCATTCACAAGATCCGAATCCAATTCAAGTTGTTGGAACCCGGCTTTCAAGTTCCTCATTCCCCATTTCCGGTACATTTCAGGCCTCTCAACACGACTCCTCCCCTCGCATGCAACCACATTCATTATATCCCTCCCAAAAACCTCTTTCTCAAACAACTTCCGATCCTCATCATCATTCTCTGCAGTTGCCTGAAACATGTCAAAAAGTGTCGCGAAGTGGAACACCGCTTCTCGAAACCTTGTAAGAAAGTAGGTTGTATTATATGTTCCATTCAAGACACCGTGTACAAACATGTCGGGGTTTAACCTCCGGATAAAATTAAGCACCGAGTCCCTCGGCTGATTCTCCACCACACTCTCATCAACTACATTCCTCATCCGGTATATACTATTCACCACAAGCATCTCCTCGGGATCAATCTCCAAATCCTCAATCCGAACGTTTTCCCAATTTTTAGCAATCGAGTGGTACTCGAAAGGGACATTAAATCTCTTCGCGTATTCCATAAGTCTGCAGCCTGTTTCTTCGATCCGCTCCGCGGGTCGAAGACCAGACTGCGGAAGATCAATTCCAGTGATGCGTAACTTAGGAGGTCCACCGGGTCGTAGAGAGAGACCCTCTATGAGACAAGGCCATTGAAATCCATACAAGATGCCAAAATCAATTATGTGTAGCTTATCACTACCATTTGATAGTTTTGCAATGGACTTGTTTGCAAATATGTTGGACATCCTATGGAACGGGCATGCAGTGATGTATGCCTTGTAAGACATCAAGATTTGAGCGGCTGATGTGGTGGCGGAGGAAAATGCTCGGTATTTTTCTGCTCCTGAGCCACTCAAGCGTGCGTCAATGGCGTTTGCAAAGTAGTGAGCCATTCTCTTTGAGGAACTTTCATGAGGAGATGAATGTTTTCGTATCTTCTCCAGGATATGAACAGCCTTGTTTGTATCACCTCTAGCCATTGCTTCTGCACACTGGATTAAATACTCCGTCAAATCCATCATCTCATCCACCTTCTTTTTCCTTTTCTTCTTCACATTACCGTCAGTCAACTCAGGAAAAGAACCCGGATACGCCTTGGACTCTAGCCAAAGATTGTTAACATCTTCACAAAGAACTGCAGAATCATATGCTTCCAGTTGTTCGGTTTCTTCAGTGCGTGGAGGATTATCGACAAGAACATCATGAAACAATCTTTCGGTAGCTTGGAGAGCCAAGCTGTCTATGAACATGCAAGGCCTTATCGTTAGATCATCTTCTTCCATGAGCATTTTATTCAAGTAATTGAACACCCCATCAAAGTAGTCGACTTCCTCTGAACTGTTTAGGTTATCTAAAGCCACAAGAGTGCTCGAACACAATAAGATGGCTTCACTGGTTTTGCTTCGAGAGGGAGGATCAAGTTTTTGGTACATGTTTGCAGATTCTGGTTTATGTTAGATGGAGACCGAATCGTGAGCTTAAAAAGAGCTCAAAAGTATCATAAAGTGATGTCGACTATCGATGGGGCTCGTAATTCTGCTACTTTCGACGTGAGATAACTGTTCCCGATACTGGGCACTTGATCTATGTGTTGGCCGATGCGAAACATGCTACAACTTGGTCTACAAGCCAATAAATGACAAGAGCTTGTTTTTAGCTGTTTGAGTTGGGCCCTCATGAGCCCGAATCGTGGACATTCTGAGTTTTTTCTATACGTGTACGTTCTTTGGTCATAATATTAAAATGGGTCCACCCTAATTTAGTAGATTTAGAAGAAAAAAATAATGTATACGGCTATAAAGTATCTCTTAATCTCTTATGCACAAAGTTCATGTTATTTGGTTATTGATCCTTGCAAAATTTATTTTCACACTTTTGGCGTGCAACAACTAACCTTTTTTTTTAATGAAATAATGTTAGATACTTTATTATCATTTTTAAAAGAAATTCAATTTATAATCTAACTATTCATAATCAGTTTTTTTTTTCAGAAAATAATACAATTTCAACCAATAAAAATATTTCAGAAATTACTTAGCGTGTCTTTATGATAAAATGAGATGTCTTTTCAGCCAATTCATTTTTTAATTTTCATGATTTGTCGAGCCAAGCAGCTAATAATTTAGTTTTAAAATTTATTTTATATATTTCAGCTAGCTTATCAACTATCTTTTATCAAATGTCATTTTTATCGGTTAGCAACTAGTTTTTTAGTTATCAGCTAGTTTTTCAGCTATTAGCTATGTAACGTTCTGATTCTCAGGTATTGCTTATATAAGATTTTTTTTTGGGTTCAGCTCTACTCGACGAGTTGGTTGACATACTCGTTGAGTAGCAGTGGGGTGGGATCGCGTTTTAAGTGACCTACTCGACGAGTCCATGATGGAACTCGGTGAGTAAGAGCTGGCAGTGGAAACCCTAAATCCCGAGGTTTGCATATCTATTTAAAGGAGACTTAGCCTCATTTGGCCTCTTTAAAGTCTTTGAGAGCCCCCTTAAACCCTAATTCGTGTGTGTGTGTGCCTTGGTGTGGTGTTGAAGCTTGGAAAAGAGGATCTTGGAGGAAGAAAGCTAAGAGTGCAAAGGAAATTGAAGCAAGGAAGGAGTGGGAAGCAGGATTTACCTCAGCTAGCATCCTTTGGATGTATCAAAGTGCCATCCTTATTTCCCTTTTTCCCTTTTGTTGAGTTCTAGGGCTTTTATGGATTTTCAAGTTGGTATGATGAGCTATGGGCTAGATTTAAAGTTGTAACTTCAGATCTGGACCCTCCTTGGATTTGAGAAGCATAAGTCACAGTTTTGGTTGTGATTGAGGTCCCTCTTGGGCATGAAGCCCCATTAAGAACTTAGATTTGGCATTTGGAGCCTTTAAGGCCATGCATGCATGTAAAGTTTGCAACTTTACGTGATAAGCATGCCCTAGAAGCTTGGATCTGTGAGTTGGAGCAGTTTCAGGGCTCAAAACAAGTATGTATGGAAAGAGGACTGAATAGACTCGGTGAGTCACATGAAGATGGTCGTGAACTCGACGAGTTGATGAACAACTCGACGAGTCCGATGAAGATCGCCATAAGACTCGACGAGTTGAAGAACAACTCGGCGAGTCGGATGAGTTTTCTCTTGGATATGTATGAGTGTGTATCCGTCGAGTTGCAAGGAGGGAACTCGACGGGTGACCTTAAGTTTGATCGAGAATCGAAGGAACTCGACGAGTTGGAATGTACTTCAGAGAACTCGGCAAGTACCCAAGGGTACTCAGCGAGTTAAGGTCAACATGGACTGTTGACCTTGACTAAGAACTTCGAATTTGACCAGGGGTTGACTAGTGGGTTATGGGGTACCTTATAAGGTTAAGGACTTATGAGCATATTGTACTATGATCTTAGGTGGTGGAGCTGGTGTTAGGTGATCCGAGGGTTGGAGTGTATCTTCCGAGTCGACATTTGCAAGGTGAGTTATCCTCACTATATCGATAGGGTCTACGGCACCAAGGCCGACCCTTTAGTTGTTATTGTTATGGTATGTTGAATGTGGTTATGATCTGTTAGTTTGGAATTGAGGTAGACAGTATGTTATGCTCTTATGATCCGAAGGGATTGATATGTTAGTGACCTGCTAGGTCGGTACTCTAGTTACGGGAGAGTTCTATGATTGATGATCAGTGTGACATATATGTTTGATGTTTATATATATATATATATATATATATATATATATATATATATATATATATATATATATATATATATATATATATATGACTATATATGATAGTATGCGCACATGGTTATTTGCTTGTGGCTGGGTTGAGGCGGTCCTGCTTTGTGCTGTAGGCCAATATACCCTATGAGCGGTCCGGGGAGACTGTAGGCCCACGTGGCGGCCCAGTCATACCAAAGGCTCGGGATGGATTCAGACAGACTGTAGGCCCGGTAGGGCGGTCCAGTCAGACCGATGGCCCGGTATGCATGTTGATTGAATTGATTATTATTGTTGTGGTATTGTCGGTGTGGTATTGGTATTTTGGGGGTAGCTCACTAAGCCCCCGAGCTTACAGTTTTCAGGAGATCGTGGAAAGACGAAGGCGTGATCGTATCGCTCCTCATCCCTATGTTATGATTTTTGGGACACTCTGACGGAAAATGATTTGAAAACATTTTGTAAACAATGTTGTGTGGTTTTTATTTATAATTGAAAAAGTTTAAATTTGGCGTAAAATTTATGGTTGTTACAAGTTAGTTTCTTAGGGGTGAGAATCGGTTCGATTTTTTGCTTTTTCGGTTTCCTCGAATCGATTTCCTCAGCTTGAAAACTATTTTTTGCCCAAGTCGAAAACCAAACCAAATCGAATTCAAATACTCTAAACCAAACCGAAAACCAAATTCTAATACAGTTTGAAAACCAAAGAAACCAAATATTAACTTAAAAAATTTTCAAACATAAATTAAAATATTTTTAACATAAAAACTTAAAGTTGCAAACAAAAAGATATAAAGTTTCATACAAAATGATCCAAAGAGTAAATGGGTTAAATGATTTTTGCTTTATAATTAAAATTGTTATTTGATATAAATATAAAATATATTTTTAAATTAATTGATTTATGAAATTCGGTTTTATGGTTCGGTTTTGTGTAAACTTCATGAGGCCGAAACCTGAACTAAAAACCAAATTCTCAATTCAGTTTGGTCTCAAACCAAACCAAAACCCAAATTTGAATATGGTTCGGTTTGAAATCAATTTTGGTTCAATTTGGTTTTCGGTTTTTTCGGTTCTGAACCAAATAATTTTCACCCCTATTTTCAGCTATCAAGTAACTTTTTAGCTATTCTGTCAAACATAGCCACATACATGGGGTAGGGTTTTTGAAGTGAACGTGATCCAAACGAAATCGAAAGTTTAACAATACTTAAATGAAATCTATTGTCCTATTAATGATTTAGTCATTAGATATGTTTTTTTCCAATCAATTAAGTTTCAAAAACTAACAATTCTATTTATTTAGATCTTTTTACCAAATAAATCAGTCACCAATATAATATAATGATTTTTCACAAATAAATCCAAATACATAAGGATTTTTTAAAAATATACTATTTTTGATTTTTTTTTAAATATTTTATTATCTTAGTATATTTTTTGTCTTTCGAATTGTATTATCTTATATTAATATTATGATCTTTTTCTTTGTCTGACATATAATATATATTATGAAAATAGTTTTTTTTCTTCTAAAAATAACAATCATAATGTTTTTGGCTAACGAATTGTATTATCTTGCATTAATCTTATGAAACTTTTTTGTCTGACAAATAATATTTATTGTGAAATAGTTTTTTTTCTTTTAAAAATAACCATTTTTATAATGTTTTTATAAAGTGGATTGTTATTTTACATTAATTTATAAAAAACTGTTGTATTTAGAAAAATTGAAAAATTGTTTTCATAATAGATATTATCTTTCAAACAAAGAAAATATTGTAAGATTAATGTAAGATATCAATATGTTACACAAAAGTATTATAAAAATTGTTATTTTTACAAGGGAAAATGACACAATGGCCCTACTATCTTTTCTGACTTTCCCCATTAAGTCCTTTAAGTTTTTTTCTTGCCCTCTAAATGAACAAAATTGTTTTTGTTGGGTCGAATATGTCATTTTACCAAAACGAAGGGGTAACTTGGTACCTCTTATGCCAGCTCACTTAATTTGTCTAATTATTTATTTTTTTATTATAAAATAAATGACACGTCTCTCTCTCTCTCTCTCTCTCTCTCTCTCTCTTTCTCTCTCTCTCTCTCTCTCTCTCTCTCGTATATATGGACATGTTTGTTCAAATCCATTCTAGTTTAGTTGTGACATCCTCAAAATCACGGCCAGAAAAGACCGATTTCATTTATGTTTTTTAAAATAATTTCAGAGTAAATCCTTTTGATTTAAAAGTGTTGCGGAATTTGTTCCCAAAACAAAACATGATAAAATAATATTTATCAAAGCATTTCATCAAGAGATGCATTTTCATTATATAATCAAAACTCCCGATGTTATGTTCTGATATAGACCATAAAGCATAAACGATAACATTACAAGTCATTCAACAAATATATACATATACAGACTTGTATACAAAACAACTCGATGATTCATCCATCTTACGCCCTTGCGTCACTTCCTGTAATACAAATAAAACTGAGTGGATCAGGCTTAGGAGCCTGGTGAGCATATAGGGTTTTAAACCCACAATAAATAAATTATATTTAATTTCACCAACCAATCACTATCCCGATTACCTATTCCCGTTATCCTCACTTTACGTCCCTAAAACAACATCTATCTCAAGGGACCTAATCTAGGATTTTCATCGGGACAGACATTACTGCTAAGGGGTTTCCTCAACAATAGATATCCTAAAGGCAACCATGAGGGGGATAG